AGGGTGGCTCCATAGAAACCTAAAAACCAGGAGTGACCCGAGACCTCTGTGCAGTTTTGTAGATAAGAATGTATTAATTGGTAAGTTAATTAAACTTTACCATAGAGTTTTAATTAAAGTGCTCAAACTTAGGCAGTTTCATCTTAAATGTGTTTAGACGTAATTTTATGATGGCCTATTTCATTTGGGCTTTTTATTACGTTTTAATCACTTCATTATAGATATTAAGTAATGGAGTAATTTCTCAGTCCATTTCTGAAAATGAGTTGAAAGCAAGAAGGGACTTCACCAACAGGGATATCCCATTTTTATTTGCAAGTTAAGCTGATGTAGCTGTTTTGGGTAAATGTCCTAGAGTTTAGGTGTATTTTCACTCTCGATTATAGCTTTGTGTTATCCAGTTTGTGACTCATTGTCAAGTCTGTAAACCCACTGAATATAAGTATGTGCACAATTTTATTCAATACTCTGGTTAATTATCATTTCCACTTTCTATTACCTGGCAGATTTATTGTTACAATATTTTAAAAAATAATCATTGTTCACACATTATATGTATTCATTATTTAATGGAACAAACATAATGTGCAATTTTTTGTGTTTCAGTGTTTAATTTCAGACAATTGTCTCTGTAATGTTTTCTGAAACACACCCATTGTTGTTTTTTCTGATTTTGTAAATATTTAATGTAGAATGATGATGCAGAATTGCCAAATATATTTGGGTATATAAAATGAATCAGCTTTGATTCTAGTTAACCTAAAATCAATGCTAATTTTGTACAGAGCAAGACAGAACCAATTACCAATCAATATTCAACAGCTGTTTTTCGACAGAGAGGGTGGATACGATTTGCGGGGATCACGTAATTTCAAGGTGTTATGCACCCGCACAACCCTCAAAACTCACTGCATATCCAGAAGAGGCATTAAGCTTTGGAATGGTTTAGATGACAACTTAGAGAGTGCTACTAGTCTACTACTATTTAAAAGACAATATAAGACGACTGCTATTGAGAAATATGTTTAGAATATGTGATGGAAAAGCTTCTTGGTTTTATTCTGACTATGTGTTGTTATATAAAAGAACAGTACAAAATATAAAACGAATAACTAAATATGCATGAAAGGTTCATTAACAAAACATTTACTGTCAAAAAGTATAATATTGTAAGTTGTACAATATTGTAATGTGGGGTAGGTGCACATAAGCTTCTTTGCTTCAGCCTACTCCATTTGAGCATGTTTTAATGTGAATTTTGAAAGAATGCAACAAATGTAACTGCTCAATGAATGTGCTAAATAGATGTGATAAACAAGCAGTTGGAAAACCTGAATACAAACCTTTTCCTAGCATAAACAGTGGGTCAATTTTTCACTCTTTGTTATATTGCTGCCGTTTGCTATAATCAATAAAAATTTTTTTTACTTATTAATGTTTACACGGCGCTCCATATTGGCAGAAAAACACAGAATTTTAGAAATGTATGCAGATTTATAAAAAAAGGAACTGAAATATCAACAGTCCTATGTATTCAGACCCTCTACTGTGACACTCATATATTTAACTGAGGTGCTTTCCATTTCTTCTGATCATCTTTGAGCTGGTCCTACACCTTCATTGGAGTCCAGCTGTGTTTGATTATATTGATTGGACTTGATTAGGAAAGCCACACACCTAAGACCTTACAGCTCACAATGCAGGTCAGAGCAAATAAGAATCATGAGGCCAAAGGAACTGCCTGAAGAGCTCAGAGACAGAATCGTGACACAGATCTGGCCAAGGTTACAAAAAAGTCTCTGCTGCACTTGAAGTTCCTTAGAGGACAGTGGCCTCCATAATCCTTAAATGGAAGATGTTTGAGACTACCAGAACCCTTCCTAGAGCAGGCTCTCTGGCCAAAGTGAGTTACCGGGGGAGAAAAGCCTTTAGAGAGGTAAAGAAGAACCCAAAGATCACTGTGGCTGAGCTCCAGAATTGCTGTCAGGAGATGGGAGAAAATTGTAGAACGTCAACCATCACTGCAGCCCTTCATCAGGGCTTTAGAGCAGAGTGCCCCATTGGAAACATCTCCTCAGTGCAAGAAACACGAAAGCCCACATGGAGTTTGCTAAAAGACACCTGAAGGACCCGAGATGGTGATAAATAAGATTCCCTGATCTGATGAGACCAAGATAGAAATGTTTGGCCTTAATTCTAAGCGTTATCTGTAGAGAAAACCAGGCACTTCTAATCACTTGTCCAATACATTTCCACAGTGAAGCATGGTGGTGGAAGCATCATGCTGTAGGGGTGTTTTTGAGCTGCAGGGACAGGAGGACTTGTTGCAATTGAGGGAAGGATGAATGCAGCCAAGTACACGGATATCCTGGACAAGAACCTTCTCCAGAGTGCTCAGGACCTCAGACTGGGCCGAAGGTTTACCTTCAAACATGACAATGACCCTAAGCACACGGCTAAAATAATGAACGAGTGGCTTCACAGCAACTCTGTGACTTTTCTTGAATGGCCCAACCGAAGCCCTGACTTAAACCCAGTTGAGCATCTCTAGAGAGACCTAAACATGGCTGTCCACCAACATTTACCATCCAACCTGACAGAACTGGAGAGGATCTGCAAGGAGGAATGGCAGAGGATCCCCAAATCCAGATGTAGGACACTGGTTGCATCTTCACCAAGAAGACTCGTGGCTGTATTAGCTCAAAAGGAAGCTTGTACCAAATACTGAGCAAAGGATCTGAAGGACCCTGTGATATTTCAATTAGTCTTTTTTAATAAATCTGCATACATTTCTAAAATGATGTGTTTTCCTGTCAATATGGGGTGCTGTGTGCACATTAATGAGGAAAAATGAATTTGATTTTAGCAAATGGCTGCAATATGACAAAGAGTGAAAATGTGACGAGGGTCTGAATACTTTCCGTACCCACTGTATTTGTCACAGGTCACTTTCATTGGGTACAACAGAACTGCCTTCACGGCATGAATTAGACTAGGCATAAGTAATGTTCCTTAGAGGTTCTGGTCCATAATGAGGACATCATCATACAGTTGCATGTCCATGAAATGAATCTCCTGTTCCACCACATCTCAGAGGTTCTACTGGTTAGAGATCGGGTGACTGTGGAGGCCGTTGGAGTCCAGTGAACTCATCGTTATGTTCTAGAAACGAGTTAGAGAGCTTTGAGCTTTGTGACACTATTTAGCCGCAAGTAGCCATCAAAAGACGGGGCCACCTATGGGACTTATTCTGTATTCTGATGCTTGATTTAAACTTCAACAGGTCATCTTCATCACCTCTAGATGCCTAAAGGCATTGAGTGACTGCCGCGTGATTGACTAATGAGTAATTTGTCTTAAGCAATCTAACAGTCGTACCAGGTTGGTGAGTGCATGTAGATAGCTCAGTGGCTCAAAATATGTTTTCCTGCTTTTAAAAGACACAGTTATATTTTTTCCTGTTTGGGTACCACTACTGCCCCCGCGACCCAACTCCGGATAAGCAGATGGATGGGTGGATGGGTGGATGGGTGGATGGATGGGTGGATGGGTACCGTGCTAGATTTGAAATGATGCGGTTAAGACATACACAGTTGTGATCAACTTTTATATTTCTCCTGTTCTTAAAGTCATTATGTTGACTGAAGTGTTCTATTTACAAAGAAAACACGGAGGAATGGACACATTTCACTGTACCTGTTATTTATTTTGATAAAAGCCATCTTGCAGACATTTCAACTCAGAACATGTTGTCAGTTTCTTATCTTTAGTCGATCATTATTCTGAAAAAGTAAACATAAACAGTCAACATGCTTATGAAATCTGCAATGAAAAGCTTAGTTAACAATATGAGTTGCAGAGGGTTTGCATCTCGATATCAGGTCTGACATGGTTTCACTTCTGAACTAACATTTGAATTATTTTAAAACACTTATTTACAATTATAACACATATTGTATGAAAAGCTTTGAGTGGCTGATTTCCACCCAAATTAGTTAAATTTCTTTCGACAAAACCTGGTATGAAGACACCTAAGGTACCTGCAGGTTACAGGGCGATAGTGACTGAGCGGCGTACATACAGTCATGTTAATGGAGGTTATCTAATTACCCTTGAGCGTCAAACAGGAGAAGTTCCCTTTATGGGAACGCCAACATCATTAGAGTGTATTTGAGCCGCTGGTTAGGAGGCTTACATTAAATCAAAACTGTAATTGTCTAAACTCATCATCAATGTTCACGCTGTGGCATCTTTTCTTTCTTTTATCGCCGTTTATCACTCTCACACCCTTCTGCTACTTCCGTATCACTACTTCCTTCCTGCTGTCTCCTTGTATCACTTCACCCATGGTCTGTTTCCTGTCTCCTTAGTGCCGGATGCTCAGGAACATCCCCTCCATCAGACTATTCATTCAGACTCGTTGTGCGCCCATTATTTCCTTCACATCTTCGTCGCTCACCTCTACTTTTGAATTTCTATGTGACGTTACTGTGTAGCCACATCTCCTTGCCCCCCCCCCCCCCCCCGTTTTTTTAGTTTCCTATCTTATTTTTGTCCTCAACCTAGATCTCCCTGCCTTTACTCCTCCGTCTCCACTTCTGCTTCACCACCCATGACATGCACCCCCCCGCCCCACTCCACTCATCAGCCCGTGCAACTACCATTGTTTTCGCTCCCTCTCAGACAGACAGTCTCTCGTCTTAGCATCCATCCATCACTCTGTTAGTGGTGACGAGATGTGGAAGTGTAAACGGCAGGGAGACAAACATGAACAAAGATGGGGGTGTTTTCTGGGGGAGGAGAAAACATATTCAGTTAGACTTTGCTTTGGGGAGATCAAGCGAGGAGAGTGTTGGCTTCCCTCCCTCCTCTCTCCTCTCTTTCCACTCTGCCTCAGTGCAAGCATGCGTGTGTATGTGTGTGTCGGTGTGTGTGCGCGTCTCTCCCAGCTCCGCTGTTGTTCGCTGCCGCCACAGATGAGCTGAGAAGAGGAGGTAAGGCGGATGTGTCTGGCCAGAGGAAAACGGGAGGAGTTTGGATCGGCACGCGAGACTAACCGGCAGCTCTGATCGTCAACGGCTCTCCCTCTGTCGTTCACACACACATACACGCACGCATGTGCGCTGTCAGACACACACACACACACACACACGCCAGCTGGATGTTTCCTTGCTACGCTGAACGGGAGAGGTGCTTTGGCTTGTCATTAGTTGAGGGCACGGAGGAACATGAGAAGCCTTGACGCGTGTTTGTGTTTCTGAATGGAGATGAGCCAGTACTTTAAACACACCGGAGCTGCTTTCACCGGCTCGCGGCTGAAGTGACTCGCACCTCTCGCTCCGGGTGACACCGTGGACTAAACTCTGGTATTTTTGAATGTGGATTAGAGCAGTCACAGAGGGCAGTGGAGGATGAAAGGGCGGGGTGGGGGGTGTTGGGATTCGTGTCTGTGTTGAGTGGATGTTTAGGGGTGTAGTGAGAGCCACAGGCAGCCTGGCAGCCAATGTTACGCTCAGCTCAAGTGAATAAGAGTGGAAGTGGAAATGAGAGGAGAGGAGAGGGATGTCCTGAGGGAGCATCTCTCTCCTTCGTCGCTGGTTCTGGTTTTAGAAGTTTTATAATACTTATCATACTTTATCTATTGCCAGTTCTTGGCTTCAAATTAGCTGTTTAGTCATTCATTTCCTCCATGTTCTCTTGCTGTGTGTCTTAAGTTTGTTTCAGTCTTTTACATTTTTACTCCTGATCTCTGTCTCTGCTGCTGCTTATAATGTGATCAGTTCAACTATGGATTGTAAAACTAAGTCTTGGTTTCTTTCTGCGCAGGTGTGAGTGCACGGGGGGGCTCCCTGGCTGAGGAGGTGGAGAGCTGAAAATGGATCTGAAGGAAAGTTGTGGCAGTCAGGGGAGCCACGAGAGCTCCAGCCTGCATCCCACCTCCTGGCAGGCTTTCGCTAACACCAGTACGCTGCACGGTCTGCGCTTCATCTTCCCATATGGACGAGCTGGTGCACGCCGCTTGCTCTGGGCTGTGGCTCTCCTGGCCTGCCTGGGACTTTTAGCCTTGGAGAGTGCGGAGCGGCTCGCCTACTTCCTGTCTTATCCTCACGTGACCAGCGTGGACGCTATTGTGTCGAGCAGTTTAGTTTTCCCTGCTGTGACCATTTGTAACCTCAATGCTTATCGCTTCAGCCATCTCACTCGTAATGACCTGTACCACGCTGGAGAGCTGCTTGCCCTGCTGGATGTACACCTGGCAATCCCCCAGCCGCACCTGGCTGAGCCTGATGTGCTCGCTGTCCTGCAGGAAAAGACCAACTTCACAGCCTACAAACCCAAAGTGTTCAGCATGAAGGAGTTCATCGATAGGGTTGGCCACGACCTCAATGAGATGATGCTTTCGTGCAAATACCAAGGCCAAGAGTGCAGCCACAGTGACTTCAAAACCGTGAGTTTCTTCAAATGTCATCTCTGCTCTGTGCTCAGCTGGAGTTAGAACCTCTCTTAGGTCATCTGTCCGTCTGAAACTGCTCGTGAGGTTTTCAGGGTGCTTGGTCTGACTCTTGAAAGTTTCTAGAAAAGAATTGTCTTTTGAAAATGCTGATAAAATATCTTGATGCATGCTGAAAGCTGAGCTTTCCCTCCTGCTGTGCACAGCTTGAAGCTTCCTGACTGGTTTTCTCCGTGGTACCCTCATGGCTCGCTTCACATGTAGCCTTTTAAGAATTGTTCTGCAAATACATTCTGTGCTTTTTCCTTCACGTTGTCCTCAGCTTTCACACAATAGCTTTGTGCCAGTGGCAAGTGCAGTACTGTGACAAGTCTGAAGTATCCTAGTGACTGAAGCAAAGTAACTGTTTTGTCCTCGGCCATTTGAGTTGTGAATTCCCTTGAATCCTCCCGTCACTTCGTTTTGTTTCTGCGGCCAAGTATTTTCTTTATTTTTACAAGTCTGAGCTTTCAAACGATGCTTTTTCCCTCTTCTTGAGTGTCTACTGGAGAATAAAATCAAAACAAATAAGTATTTATTTACACGTTGGCAGGAGTTTTTCCTCTTGTTGATTCTGATCTCCAGAGTCTGGTGATGCTGGCGTGAAAAGTGGTTTCATATTTGCATTATTTTCAGTGATAAAAAGAAATAAATAGCTTTAATCAATCTACTCTATTACAGAGCAAAGTGAGCATGCTTGTTGGCTTGGACACCAAATGCTGATATTTAACTTCAACTTGTTGCTTACTTCAGCTCCACCAGGGCGTGTGGGGATTGCATCCATCATAAAACATTGACTCTTTTAAACACACAACCTTCTTTTCTTTTAACTTAATGAAATTGATTCTAAAATTTCTTGTGTGAAGACTTGCTGGATCTCTTCAGAAATCTCTGGTATTTACAAGGTTTAAGTCATTAACACAAATCTGGTACACCTGACATTTATACAGACCATTTAAAAAGAAGGCTGCAGAGTTTCTGTCTTCTTCAGCGCATTTATTCAGCTGTTCTGCTGTCAGCAGACGCGTGAGCTGTGTAATCCATCACGCCGAAGAACAAGTCTGCATCGGTTTATTGGCATAGCTCTGCTTCAGCCTGGTGAGCTTGAAGACTGTACGGTCGGTGTTTCAACCTGCCTGTTAGTTTGGACTCTGGAAAATCGTAGTCCGCTGCTAAGAAAACACTTAGACTGAATTTATTATTCTTTGGTGCATTTTATCATTTCTTAACTATAATGGATTATATTTTTATTTAGTTATAGTCATTTTCATGGAGCCAAAGCGCTTTACAGAAAATCTGTGATTCATTCCCACTCTGGTGACATTAAACTACATCATAACCACAGCTTTCCTGGGGCAGTCTGACAGAGGTGAGGCTGCTATTTTGTGCCAATGGCTCCTTTGACCACTACAGACACAGGGGAGTCAATTGAACAGCAGAATTCCCAGGAAAGATTAGGGGTCGAACTGGCAACCCTTGCGTTACTGGACAACCAGCTCCTGAGCTGCTGCTGCTCCACTATGAAGGGTTAGCATGAAAGTAAAATCTCTAAAGAAAATAACAAGATCGTTCTTTGTGGATATTCATTTAATGCTTTTAATAAAATGCCAAAACTTTCATATGATATCAAAATGTCTGTCAAAATAATAAATAATGGACCTTTAGTTGTTTTATTGTGTTAATGATGTGGGGACCTCGGAAAGGGAAACTGTTTAAAAAGAGACTTTTTAGAGCTACTGGAGTCTTGATTGTGAAGGAAAGTTAAACCTTTTGGCCACCACAGAGCTCTGCTTTTCACTGCTACTAACTAGGGTTACCGCATGTTCCTCCACATATGGAATAGTTCCATTTTCATAACTTAAATTGTTCATTCCATCTTGAATCTAAACACAGGGCGGGTCATATGTATGTGTCATATTTCTGAGTTGTCCTCAGTGCAGCTTCATCTTCTCCATATTTTATATGAAATAGCAGATTATGAGATGGATTTGTTAGGGTCTAACGTAGTGGTGATGTGTAAGATTACACCTCCCCCCCCACACACACACCTTCTCCACCACAACGCCAGCACAAGCATGAGTGGGAGGGGTCAAATCTGTGGAGGTTTTCCAACAACAACCTTAAAGTTTTTTGCCACACGCAGAGGCGGATTTAGCAATTTGGGGGCCCAAGGCGAACACAGACATGGGGCCCCTTACACCAAATTTTCGACAATCTTACCTTTAACTGGATTTGTGATACTCTCCCCTCTTCTGACATGAGTTATTTTCCCTTTTTATTAGTCCTCCTTTTTTCCTGTTTCTCTCTCCCTTTGAGCGCTTTCAATATTTGCTCTGCTTTCTTTTTCCTGTCAGTGCTCCTGTGCTTTTGCCTTAGTTATTTTTTTTCTATTTTCCATTTTGATCCATGTTTTCCTCCCTTTAAACATTTTCCATTGTCTTTCCTTTCTGCTTCCTTTTGATGTTTACATCGAAAAACGACGTCACTTTCAGAAGTGAAAATAAAAGCTTATATGAAGCAAGCTGCTTCTTTCTCTTATTGGAGCCACTAGGATAACTCCATTTCATGCTTAATGTTTTGACTATCGCTTTGAGTTTGTTACGAACGCTCCCGCCTCTCTTCTTCTTCTTGTTTGTGGTCTTATGGCACTTGGCAAACAACCATTTGGTGCATTACCGCCACCAACTGGATTGGAGTGGAATGACTACCAATCACTTCATGTTTGTGCATCGCCGTCTTAATAACCCTCTTATGACCATAATTATAACAGGGCCGCCTGTTTTTTTTCTTATGGCTGTAAAATTGTAATAAAAAGTGCAAAGTGTGTGTAACTCTTCTTTTTTCAGAACAACCTCAGCTTTCAGTGTATGGTTTGTATTTAGAATTTATTTCTATGAAAGCCTTTAAAACATCAGCTTAAAAGTGAAAAAGCAAAAAACGGATTTGATTTTTTTACATTTATCACTGAACAGGAACTTCAAAATTACTGGGCAAACAATTTAAACTTTGAACTGTAATGCATCTATTCTTAAAGAAGTTTGAACCTTTGTATCATTTTTAGCAGTTTTAAGACCATTTATTTATGTAAACTTTCATACGTTTTTATTTGATGTGGTAGACCTTGAAGCAGTTTCTCTCCAGCTGCAGGCAGAGTCCTGCACACCTCACACCGCCATGGGGTGCTTCTCTTGCACACCAAAAACTTTTGTTTTTAGCAAAAATAATTATTTTTTGTAAAAAGATAAATAATATTGGAATGAAGCCGAATCTTACAATTAGCAAATAGTTGAGGGTTGTTCAAATAAAAAAATAAAAAATAAAGACTGAACAAACATTCATACCCTGGTTCACTGGAGATCTGCTTCGTGGTCACTGTATTCAGATAGCTATAAGCCTGCTCCGTTTCAATCAGGCTGTACAGCAGGATTTCCCCTCGTAGCGATATTTTCCATAACTCTGATTGCTTCATGCTATAGATCGTTGGAAAGCTGCTTTTATGTACTTTTGGAATTTTTTGAATCTGATCAGCCATTCAAAAGTTATAAAACGGAGTATTTTGGATGACAAACTCAGCACGTCTCTGAATCTGTGTTGTGATTCGTTGCGCTCAAGACAGGGAATGCCGGTGGCTACCGTAATGTATTGTATATGCACGGAAAGCCCCATTTTTAAAGGGGCATTATGGAAGTTTGACAGTCAAAACATGTATAGAAATAATAAATTTCTTCTTCATACATTCTCCTGCAATGCCCTGGTCCTGTAGAATGAGCCCTGGCATTTTTACTGTGATTGCCTGTTTTTCTGTAAAATCACAGAAAAAGAGAGATGCTCGGGTCGAGCAGGCTGCTTCATGCGCGTTCACGCTCAGGCATAGCCCGTAGCATTTGCTATCAGTAGCTTTAGCAGCAGAGACAGAGGTAGTGCCAACTCAGCGACTTTGTCGCTGTTCCTAACGCCTAGTGCTGAGGACCCTTAGCTACTTTCTTCTAGATATTTCCTGCAAATTAGCAACAAAATAGCCATTTTCGCTCCGAACCGTTCTTTGAACGTTGTTTCAGCTGTCATCAAGGATATAAATGTTACAGATACTAAAGATGCCACTGGTGCTATAGCTCACCTAGTGAGACAGCGGACTCGTGCGGAAGACCCGGGTTCGATTCTGGATGTGAACATAGTTTATTTAGAGTTTATTTTTTACATTAATCAGGGTTTCCCTTACATAGGCGTAGCCGTGGCGGGCCGCCACGGCTGAAATCCCACCGCCACGCCTACAACATCCCAAGTTTTATTGTTTTTTTTTTTTTTTTTGCGCCGTTTCCCGAAGAAGCAGCAAGAACTACTGTGTTGTTGCTTGTGATCACAGCCGGCAGGTAGCAAGGAGGATGAGGCACGGCAGGGGGTTACAGCTATGAGCGTACGGATAAAGCATTTTTGACGAATACGAGCAAGAAACGAGTGTAAAACTCAGAAATATCTGTAATCGTGCTGAATTAAATTCTCATTGGGTAACTGACTGTCTTCACGCTCTGTGATTGGCCAGTCAGATAGAGCACCCGCCCTCCCTACACACAAAACTGCAGCCGGGAGCTCCGTCAGCTCGGTCCAGGCATCAACGCACACACACAGACAGTAAAGCCGGGCGTACACTGTGTGACTTTTTCACTTTTTTGAGCAGATTTTCCACTCATGCGAGAATCCACAAGATCGGGGCGAGTTTTGCGCTGAGCGTCGTGTAGTGTACAGGGGGTTACGAGAGGCGATTAACACCACGTGACCAGCTACAGATCAGCAATCGTGAGCTCGCACGGACTTCTGGCGTGTTTAATATTTATCTCGTTCCTCATGAGGGTTGAAGCGGCGCTGCGAGCAGCTGCGACCCAAAAAGTATCAGAACCGCTCACGGCGCATTCGCAATCCTGCATCAACTCCGCTCACCCGCTATTTCCCTAATAACAAACGCTGTTTGTTTTTATTTCTACACGTTTTTTTTACTCACAAAGATTGTCAAGAAAGCGTGTTTGTCGTGTTCATGTCAAATTAAACTGATCACAAAACACAAATTTACTTTCTTTATTTCGTTTCCTCATCCAACCCCCATAAATCCCTGTGTGTCCTCCTGCAGCACTCCCGAAGGACAACAGGCAAAACAAGACAAAAAAGTCTGACGTGTTGAGTAAAAACTGCTATTTTTAGCATATTTTAGGTCCGACCTGTTGCTACCAGACGTACAGTGTGAGCACATGACTCGTGAGATCTACCCTGCGCTGAAGTCGTACAGTTTGAGCTGAAGCTGTGTTACGAGTGAAAAAGTCGCACAGTGTCCGCCCAGCTTATTATAATGTTCACAGTAATGCATCTTGATGTTCTTAACAAATAAATCAAATCAAAGATATTGGTCAATAATGCCAAATATGTAAATATGTGTTTCAGTCATTTTTATACTGGCTTAAAAATACTTCATTAAGTCTACTAAGCAGGGGTGTAGAACGTGTTTAATAGGGCCAGCCCAGTAATGATCTTGGACCAAAATAAAGGGGGCAGAAAGTCAAATAAAGGGGGAAAAAGAAGATGTTTTTCCAGACGCCAAGAAAAATTAAATGCCAAATCCACCCTTCAAAGTGTGTCACTGAGAGTTTAAAACAGAAATTATTCTTGTGCAAATATTGGTGTACTCACCTTTAATACTAGTTATTACAATGCAGCAGTCGCTGGATCGGTGCAGTTCAAAGTGGAGTGCATCAAATAAAACAATATTAACATAAAGGTGAGACGTGTCATCCCCCCCCCCCCCCCCCCCCCACCAACACCACCACAGCTGGAAAAATTCCTAGGGGAAACACTGCATTAATGGTATATTTTTTTACAGTAAGATGCCCAAATTTTTATTTGAGACCCACCGAACAGCATTGAATTCACAGATAAAAAAGATGTGGGTTCAACTTTCATTTTGGAACAATGTTTCAAGCAAGGGAAGGGAATGATCTGAGCATGCAGGAAGACTGACCCATCATAAACCTTTGTCGGCTGTGCTGAAGAGAAAGGTACAGAACCAAATTATTTAATTAAATAGCTGCATGTTCTCCTGTCCTCTGTCCTCCGGGCCACACACACACACACACACACACGCACACACAACACACACACACATACACACACACACACACGCACACACAACACACACAACACACACACACACACACACACACACACACACACACACACACACACACACACACACACACACACACACACACACACACACACACACACACACACACACACACGGGACTGTCTCAGCTGTTATTTTCGTTAAGGAGTGTGCACGTACAGCATGGCGCCTCGTGCACGAGCCTACTATTGAAGCTGCCGTTACGCTTTTGGCCTGGGGGGGCAATCGCGAGCATAAAAATTCAAAACTCCGTAAAGTCCCTTTAATCTTTTCAGCACTTTTGGAATTTTAATGATATCTTGAATGGTACAGGAATTATGGCAATGAGAAGTGTGCATGTCTAATCCCGTCTGCGGCGACAGGTTGGTAATAAGAATATTGTGGCATTAGCAGAGGGTTGCAGGCGGTCAGGGCTAGGGGGCCCCCCAACACATGGGGGCCTCAGGTGGCCTCCAACCTATGCCTAATGGTAAAACCGCCACTGGCCACAGAGTCTGACAGATGTGCGACCGCAGGTGTGTTCATGTGTTCCAAGTGAGCAACGTTCTCGTTCTGTCAGGGGCTGATGTGGTGGTTTCAACTTCCTCTGCAGTTACCCATTTATTATCAAACAACTTTAGATGTGTTTACCTCCACATTATGTCCAATAACTTTCAATTAGGGACCTACTAATATCTCCAACCAGGTGTTTGTGACATGATCTGACCTCTTATTAACTTCAGGCTATCATGTGATTTGTTTATTTAAATATAATAATGATGGATACATGTAAGAGTCAGAATACTATTTGGGCAAAGAAAAATATTTTTGCTATGCAAAATTTGGTATCACAAACAAGTGTTGTGGTTGAAGAACTATTAAAATGTGTTGTTATACTTGTTATGGACAGATCGAGGTGAACTGACACACAACAGACCTCTGGTCTGATGGTTTTTAACTCTGTCAACTGGCCCTTTTTTATATTTGCTTGGTTTTAGTTTTTACATAAATGCAGTGTTTGCCTGTATTTAGCTTTTATTTAGGTTTTCATTGCTTTGGTACTCAACATGAGCTCATGTGTAGTACATTTAAATTTTTACTATTAGGATGCATCATTCTCTATTTTAATGCTCATTGTTTTACATTGTTGTGTTCAGCACTTTGGGCTGCCTTGACTGGCAGCAGGAAGGCACTTTATAAATGAACGAATGAATGAACGAACCTTATTAGATGACAGCACTACTAAATGAACCCTGATTTACTGGATTGTTCTTATATCACTTTGAAATCACTTGAGTCAGTAACATAATTTGACTCGGTTGAAGTTAATCTATAATTGAGTGTTTATGTCTGCATGATGATCTCAGAGATACCTCAACAATTTCTTTGATCCTCTGGTTGCAACTTTTTTCTGCAAGCTCTGCAGATCAGCGAGACGTCATCCAGAATTTCTGCTTTAGCATTTTTGGGTATCTAAAATATTCCCAAAGAGGAGATTTCAAGAACTTCCAAAGTGGATATAGTCCCTGTGGTTGTTGTTTTGTTATTATTCACAAGTGTTTGTTCCCTACGGCCTTTTGTTTTTGTCCATGTGGGTCGTGCCATAACGTGTGTTGGATCCTTACACATTTTTTCAGCTCTCTTGTTAGTGATTATAACCGGTTTGACCATTAACTGCAATGTTTCACACCGTGTTTAATCGTCAAACTAGTTGGTTGTTACGATAAAAACTTTAATTTAAATATATCATATAGGAGAGACACACACAGTGATATTTGAGAAGTGAAA